AAGTTTTCTGAACCTCATGTAACCTGCGAAGGCCAAGACCATTTTCATTAATTGGATAAGCACACTTTTCCCAGGATCTCCAAATATGGCTATTAGAGGCGGAGCTATTGTTTTTCCACAAGAATCTGATGCAAATATTCTCAATGTCTTTTAAAATGCCTTTAGGAACCATAGAGGAGCCCATAGGGTAAAGGGGGATAGTAGAAAGCACATGTTTAACAAGAATCAATTTACCTGCACTTGAGAGCATTTTGTTGATCCACATGTTAATTTTATTATCAATTTTGTTAACATGATGCTGATAATAACATTTTTTATTTCTGCCAATAAAAATGTTAACACCTAAATAAAGGAAGGGGAAAGACCCCTTGTTCATTTTGGAAACCTTTCTGATCATATGGGTAGTGTTAACAGGAACATTAGGAGCAGTGAAGAAAGAGCTTTTACCATGGTTGATCTTTTGACCCGCACACAGCTCATACAGATTCAGAATGTCAAAGAGCTTACCGAGAGTGCGCTTATTCCCATTGGAAAAGATAACAAGGTCGTCTGCATAAGAAAGGTGGGAAATAATAGGCATTCCCACCAGCGAGTGGTAGGGTCTGCCTCCTCCTCTATTGTACAGGTGATTTAAATTCCTAGAAAGAACCTCAGACACAATAATAAAAAGAAGAGGGGAAAGAGGGTCACCTTGTTTAACCCCCCCTAGAGGGGTTAAAAAAACCTTTGGGCACACCGTTAATAAGGACAGAAAACCAAGTGCCTTTAAGGTTGTTAAGAATCAGGTTTATGAAATGTTGGTGAAATCCAAGCTTAAGAAGGGTGGACCAGAGGAATTGCCAAGATATATGGTCAAAAGCCTTGGTAAAATCAATTTTAAAGAAAACGTTGTGCCCATTTATTTTGTTAGGGAGGAATCTAGTAAGCTCTCTCATAGAAAGAACAGAGTCAGAAATATCCCTACCTTTTTGAAAAGCATTTTGTTCCTTAGAAATGATTTTTTGGAGGAAAGGAGTGATGCGGTTAGTCAAAATCCTGGTGAAAATTTTATTAAGAAAATTACTTAAGCTGATCGGCCTGAATTTGCTAAAAGAGGTCGGTTGGTATTCTTTTGGAATAAGAGTAATGAAAGTGTGACCAACCACTTTGGGGACAGGAACACCGCAAAAGAATTCTCTAGTGGCATTCAAAAGATCCTCTTTGATAATGTTGAAACAAGATTGATAAAATTGACCATTAAACCCGTCAGGCCCGGAGGCACTGTTTTTGTTAAGTTTGAAAACAGCATTCTTAAGGTCAGTCATGGTAATAGTAGCAAGCAAAGCAACATTATCAGCCTCAGTAATAATAGAAGGGAGGTGGGTAAGCATTTTATCAAAAAGGTGCGTAGGAGGTTCCTCATCTTGGGTGAGAAGATTATTGAAAAAAGTGGAGGCCATCTCCCCAATTTGATCCTGATCATCAACAAGATTACCATTGGAGTCAGTGATGTGGTGGATTCTAAGTTTAAGGTGGTTAGCCCTAACATAGGAGTGAAAAAATTTAGTATTAGCATCACCATGATTGATCCAATTGATCCTAGATTTTTGTTTATAATAGGAGGTGATGTCTTTTTGTTTAAGAGAGTAGATGGCCTGAGCACGTTTAAAAATGGTAAGATTTTCCAGGGTTTCATTATTTAAAAACTTTTCTTCTTTAAGGGTGAGATCTTCTTCAGCCTTTTGAAGATTCTGAAAAATGTTACCAAAAGAGTTCTTGTTCCAAGTTCTTAAATCCCTTTTTAGCCTTTTCAGTTTCTGGGCAAAAAGGTACATGCCATAACCATCACATTGCTCATTCCAAGATGAGGAGACAGTGGTAAAGAAATCAGGATGGGAGATCCAAAAATATTGAAATCTAAAAGCAGTAGGTTGGGTGTGGGTGGGGGGAGGGTTAATTTGGAAAAGCAGGGGAGTATGGTCAGAGGAAAGAAAAGGTAATTTAGTGCAAGTGAAAGTGAAATCCGATTGGAAGAACTTTTTGTTAATGAGAACTCTATCAAGTCTTTTGAAGACAAATCCCCCCTTACGTCGTCCCATCCAAGTGAAGTTACCACCAGATAATGGGACATCAGTAAGGTCATTAGCAACAATAAAATCATTGAAAGCATTGATAGAGTTTTTATTAGGAAGAGATCTACCCTTGTACTCTTGGAGGTCCCTAATAGTGTTGAAATCTCCCCCTAAAAACCAATGCTGGTCAGAAACATTAGTGTGGAAAAGGGAAAGGTCATTCCAGAGAGTGTTACGTTGGTTCATATCACAGCTAGCATAAATTATGGAGCTGTAGCAAGAGAAATGGGTGTTGTTGTTGGTTATTTTAAGATTGCAGGACTGACTGGTTTCGGAGAGAATGTCAATGTGAATGGTATCATTCCAGAAAAGCCAGATTTTGTTCAGGAGGTGGCTGTGATTTTGTTTGAAGTGGAGGGAGTTAAGAATGGGGTCCATATGGTTAGGATGACCCATAGGTTCAAGGATAGCAATGAGGGAGGGGTGATGAATTTTATTAAGGCGGAAAAGTCTTTCTTGAGTATCATTATTAGTGATACCCTGGGCATTCCAAATTATGGCTTTAATCATATGGAATTGGTTGGGTTGGTAGAGTCTAGGTTGGTTGGGTTATTTTTGGTCTGGCTCCTGGTTAGCCTTTTGTGAGGGGTTGGGTTGAAGAGGTAAGCTTTTTGATTGGTGGTGAGGGGAGGGAAATCCCTTATGGATGAGTTGTCTGGTTCAGAATTATGTGAGTGGTTTTCAGGGGAGAACTCATCATCCAGGAGGTCCACTCCATCATCAGAGTCATTAGACTCTTCAGCAAGAGTGTCAAAGGTGTTGTGAGTATCCAAGGGGAGGGTATTACTGACAGCGACCTCAAGGGGAGACTGCTCATTCGTATCTCCGGAACCTTGAGTGTCAGTTGGTTCAGAGATGTTTTCATCATTACCCGGGGTAGAGTTTATCAGGTCATTAGTGTCATTGCTGGCACCCTCAAGAGGAACAGGATGTGGGATGGGAGGGGACTGGTTTTGTGAGCTGGGAGGGGACTGGTTTTGTTGGCTGGGAGGGGACTGGTTTTGTAAGCTGGGAGTGACTGGAGCAGGGATCAGGGGGGCAGATTGAGAGTCAGATATTTTACCTTCCTTACCATTAAGATCATTCTCCCTGATTGTATGTGGCTTGGAGGTAGAGGCAACCAGTTCCTTCGGTGGAGTAGGATTCATAGGCCCTTTACCCTTTCGCAGTCTACCTTCATGCTCTTTACCAATTTCCTGAGTAATATTTGTTTCCTTTGCACCTGTAACTTGAAGAAGAGGGTTAGCAGCACCAGGAGGCTTTTTGATTCCTCCCTGGTCTTTAATAGTAATTGGTCCGGAATTGGTTTTCGGCAAAGAGGAGCATTTATCATAGTAATGGCCAAATCGAAAGCAGTTTTTACAGTACAGAGGGAGGAGCTCCTCAGTTTTAACAGGCTGCCAAAAGGGCTCATAGCCTTCATCCTCTAGCCAGATCCTATCAGGGATAGGTTTGAGGAGGTCTATCTCAACCTGAACACGAGCCACAGTGGGTCGTTTTCGGTCAAGTGTAGGCCGGTCACACCTGAGAGGTTGACCGAAGGTGGAGCACAGTTCGAAGAGGAAGGCTTCATTAAACAGATGAAAGGGGAGGTGAGGGAAATCGAACCAGATGGGAACAAAGGATGACTCCTTCTCTGGATGGTAACCAGGGTACCATTTAGAGACGGTCATTTGTTTGCCACCTATCATCCAAGGATTACGGGATCTGCAGCGGATGTATTCATCTTTGCTATTGAAAGAGATGATAATCTCTTTCTCATAAAGTAATCCAACTGAAAAGGAATGAAAGTTAAGAGACTCGAAGAACCTGCGAATAAGGTCCATTGGGGGTCGGCCTTTCAGAAATTTTCCAACCAGTGCATATCGAAGTCCATGCGATAGTAGATCTGAGCGTTTCTTTGGAATCTTGACTGAGATATGTCCACGATGCTTACCAACGATCAAGGAGAGTGACGGGTCTGGAGTAGTCGGTGTAGCGGAGAGAAGTTGGTGATGGTCTCCTGTCACTATCTTTGCCCAGGAGCGGGGGGGTGGAGGTTTTGGATCTCCATCCGAGACAGACGCCATGGAGGCGGGTGGAAACCCTAGGGTTTCCTCCAAAGAAGGACTGGAAAAGTATAGAGAGAAGGCAGAGAATTTAGCGTTTGTAGAACTCATGGCTTAATCCATCATATGATTTCTTAAAAATCATCAACGATAATACTAGTTAAAGAATACTAAATGGCACTACTAGAATTTTACTCATTTGCTGCAAGGCAAAGAATACCTGTACTATATTGGAGAAGACTTTTTCTTCAGTCATTTTACCTTCTCCAAATTTTCCACCGTTGGAGCGAAATATAGGCTCTAAAAATAATCAAATAAGTGTTGGACATGTGAATTCCAGCCAGCTCAACATTGCTTCCAAAAAGGGGGATGATGTTGATTTGTATAAAAAAACTAAGGGAAAAGGTGCAAATAGGCCCATGTACTAACCAAAAAAGGTCAAATAAGCCCTTATTTAGGAAGTTCTGTCTGGCCGTCGTCATTTGAGGTGGTTCCCGGTGGAATTTTTTGATGAAATTTTTTGAGCATCTTATTTATTAAGTCTAGTTTACTCATACCAAATTTCAGCTAAAACTTCAATCGGGAAGGCATTCAAATGAATTCTTGAAGATAACTGCGCTTCTAACTGCCCAGTTATTTTCAAGAATTCATTTGAATGCCTTCCCGATTGAAGTTTTAGCTGAAATTTGGTATGAGTAAACTAGACTTAATAAATAAGATGCTCAAAAAATTTCATCAAAAAATTCCACCGGGAACCACTCCAAATGGTGACGGCCGGACAAAGCCTCCTAAATAAGGGCTTATTTGACCTTTTTTGGTTAGTACATGGGTCTATTTGCACCTTTTTCCAAAAACTAAAGAAGCTTTACTTGTGGGCAGATGAAGGCCTGACCAAAGATGTTATGGCTGGGGTAGATTATGAATTTGATCAGGCTATAATGTTATTGGGAGCAATGGTTTCTCTGGATCAGACACTTGTGTTGCATGAGGATTCCGAATCTGAGAAACCTGAGACTAGCAAAGGGAAACACAAAAGGTGAACATGCCAAATAAGATGTTTCATTTGTAGAGGACATGAATGTGGAAGATTTCAACAACAATATGAATAAGCATCTGAATGCCAGTAGCACAGATTTGGTCAATGCACCAATTGGTGTTTTTAGATTTGTACCAATTGAACCTGAGTTATGGGAAGAAGATGATGTATACTCATTACATAGAAAGGATGCTCTAAAAATGATGAGGTGGTTGTCATCTTTTGTTTTTTGAAAAATATATTTTATTTTGAAATTGGTACCACCTGATTGCATTACTAGCCTTTATAAAGTTATGGTACTTTATTTTTTTCTCCTATCTACACTTCATTGGTTATAAAATGGGCAGAGACTGCTACTATGGATTAGCTTCTACCTGGAATGTAAGTACTTTGGGAGGAGATTTATTTTTATTAGCTTCTACCTGGAATGTGAATACTTTGGGAGGACATTTATTTTTATTAGCTTCTTCCTGGAATGTAAATACTTTGGGAGGACATATAATCTACTGTTGGATTATTTTTTATTCTTTAGTTTTTCTATTCAAGGGAGAGAATGTAACAGCTGTAATATTGTCGATAGTATTTGCTCAAAAAACTATGCATCGTGATGATCACTTTAAATTTGTTATTCCCATAATTTCCAATGAAGTGAAAGACTCATATGGGTTGGGAACAGTGATGGTCTGATGGACCCGGTCCAGCCCGACCGGCCCGGCTGGGTGCCCTGTTCTGGTACCGGGCTTTTGCCCTACCCAGCGTCCTAACTGGGAGCGGTTCCGGGACGTCTAAATAGCAAACAGGCCATGCGGCCAAGCTGGGCCCGGTTCGGGCCCAACGGCTAATATTTTTTTTTTAAAAAAAATTTATAGCTCTTCCTAGCCGTTGGGAAAAGCCCCAAACGGCTATATAGTCGTTTGGTGCAATGAGGGGTCATGGGGGTTTGGGGATCGGGGGTGGGGGTTGGGGTACAAAAAAAATCCATAAATCCTCCTATTTTCTAATATTTTCTTACACCTCTTCTCCATCTTCATTAGGCCTAGACTCGGACTGGGTGGCCCGACCCGGAACCGGCCCGAACCGGCACTGTTCTGGCCCGGCCTGGCCCGATGGCCCAGTCAGTGACCGGTCCGGGTAGGCCCGACCCGCTGGGGGTCCGGTCCGGGCTCGGGCCCCACAAATCATGAACCGGCCCGACCGGTTCGGGCCCGACTTCGGGCCTTTTAAATTTTTCTTTTCAATTTTTTTTTTACTTTTCGGGTTGGGTTGGGTATTTTGGGCCATTTGGGGTGGTTTGGGGGTGAGGGGGAGGGTTGGGGGTTAACTAGGAAAAGAAAAAAAATATAACTAAGGCCCGAGGCCCGGCCTGGCCCGATCCGGAACCAGGGATTACCCGGGTCAGTTCTGGGCCCCCATTCCTGAACCGGAGGCCCGACCGGGCCCGAACCGGCTTGAGTACACCCCTAATCTTCATCTTCTCAAATTCTCTAATTCTCTATACATCTATTTTACTATTTATGCAATTATTATATCTATTTATATATTAATTATCTACCTATAAATACATATATTATGCTACGTATTACCTTTATTTATTATCTACTTAATATATACTTATATATATTATAGTATACTTATATATTATAGCATCACTCCCACCGAACACTTTATGGAGGAAACAACAACCGACGAGCGCGGAGATTCCGATTCATTATAAATTTATAATTTATTAAAAATTAGAAATGTATTTCATGTTTTAATTTATTCTCAATTGTACCTCATATTTCACATAAATATACTCGAAGTTTTTTTTTATATCCAGCACTTCTAGAATTAATTAGGAAACAAGAAAAAAAATTGACCCGGAACCGGCCCGAGCTAGTACCCGGGCGGGTGGCCTGGCCCGAACTGTTCAACACCCGGGTGTGTGCTGGGCTTCAAGCTCACAAAAAAGGCCAGGTCGGGCTCAACCCGGAACTGGACCGAGCCCGGTCTATGACTAGTTTGGAATATGATTGAATAAAGCAAAATGACACACTAAACTATTTGCCTTTTTTGTCATGAAGCAGCAGTCATTTCATGAAGTATTTGATGATATTTTCATCATGGGTCATCCGGAATCAGTTTATGTATGCTTTAGTATAGGGGTAAGGTTGCGTGCATCTGTCCCCCTACTCTATCATTGGTGGGAGCCTTTTGTGGCACTGAGGTAATGTTGTTGTTATTGTAATGTACTTTAAATTTGTTGTTAAAGTAATTTGGATATAAAATATGTGTTAGGTGTGCAAAACACAGATAATTCATTTCTTCAATAGAATGTAATAAAAAATAAAAGGTATGAAAAAAATTAAATAATTGGTACTCCCTCTGTTTCCAAAAATACTTCCTACTTTGCTTTTTGGGCCGTTCCCAAAAATACTTTCCACTTAGCCCTTTTGGACAGTTTGTGTGGTTCACATTCATTTTACCTTTTTCTTACACAATTACACATTTCCACTTTCTTAATAAGCGTGTCATTCAAACTTGGAAGAATTTTTAGGAACGGGGTTAGTATAAAATATACTACGTATTATGTGTACGTATTAATCATTTTGGTTCCAATTTAATAACTATCCAAATTAATACGAGTAAGTAATAGATTGTCTGTAGTGCTTTTGTCGTTTTACCCATTATATGAATGCTGTTATATCAATTTAAGTCATCCGTTTTGAAAATCAAAAAAATTATTAAAGGATGTGAATAGAGTAAAAGTATATTTCTGATAATGCAGGAGTGCGAATGATAATACGTCAAACTTCGAGGGGATGGTCAATGATTGTTTCGCTAAAATGAATCTGTTTAATTCAAAAAAATCAAATTTATATGTATGATTTTGTAGAGAATATTTATTTTATTTAATAGCTATTTGATCTAAAAATAAAAAACAAATTTAACAACTTTGTTACAAATTAGTTACAGAGCACGTGGTTTTGTTTCCTACCCTCTAAAATTCTCTCATAACCGTCTTCGTGGTCAGCTTAGCTTCTCTCATACAGTATTTTCTCTGTTGCTCTGTAATGGGGTTTAGCTACTCCTCTGCTACGTCAACTTCTTCTCCATATGAGGAGGCCAACTTCTTCTCAAGGTAGTCTACTTCCTCTCTTCTGGCATAATTCTATGAATGGCGGAATGTTTGTGGTAAGTTTCATAGAGTTTTCTGCCAATAGCTTCTAATCTCTAGTAGTTATTCTCTACCCCATTGGTTCTCATGAATATTTCTATTCAGCAGAAGGAATCGTTCGCCTCCACTAGGGCGTGGCCATCTTGACTCCATCTCCATGGACGTAATGTCTCCTTCCCTCCCTGAAAAAAATTCCGCATTATCTATGTTACGTTTTCGCACTCACACAAGTGAAATTTCAGCGTCGTTCCTTTGTATTGGCATTTCATATTGTACTGGATCTCTTATCTCAAATGGCCGTTGAATATGTTCTCATTAGGTTAAGTGATGTCTGAGTTATTTTATAAATTTGCAGTTGAACAGCATCATCGAAGAATTAGGGAGGGTCTCTGGTGCAGTCTATACCCTCAGGTGTTCTACCTATTCCAACTGCACTGCACTACACTCAATTTAGTTGGCCTTCCTTTTGACTTCTACCTCAAAACTGTTCTCCCCCTCACCCCCCACCCCCTCACCCGCCCGCCTATGATTTCATTTTTAGGTTTTTACTTTCCCTATGCTTTTTCTCATTTCCGTTTCTGTTTTCTGCCCTAGATTTGCGTGGAATTTGGATGAGATGCTACTACATACTATATGTTGTGATCTTAAGGTACTACTGAAACTGTATTATACTTTTGTATCAGGTGTATTTTTATCGTAAATAGAGAGTTATATTCTTGGCTTGCACTTTTGCAGTGGAGTAGTGCTTTTTTCCCCTCTACACTGTTTGGGTGTCCGTACTGGTTGGTGTCTCTTCCTGTCCAGGATTGCTCCTCTGCAACCTCCACCGCCTCAGTAACTGATAGGGAGAGGGTGGGAGTGGTGCAGTACCAGTTGATGATCACTGCCGCATTGCAGAGACACCCCAACCATCAGTCAGTGGGTGGATATGATGATGCTAACTTCTTATACATGGTCAAGGTTTTGTACTTCCTATTGTCATCCAGTATTCTATGATTGATGAAATTGCTGTGCTAAGTTTCAATTGAATCTGTGCTAGTTCTCGATTAGCTGCCAATAGCTTCTTATATTTGCTCTTTGCTCTCATGGATTATTCTATGCAGCAGAAGAAAACAACGGCCTCCACTATGCCTTCATGGAGTAGCCTTCTTCAATCCATCTCCAAACAAGTAATTTCTCTCCCCTCCCCCCTCTCCCTCTCCCTCTCCATTTTGAACATATTTTACTGCGTATATCCAATAAACGTCAGTTAATAACATTTGAAATTCTCCTATTACAGTATGGATCGTCTATGGTATACTCGCAAGTGCTGGAGTGCTCCGCCCTTCATTTACTCAGCATTTGCCGCTCTTCTTTGCAACCTCTCTGCAACTGCAAGATCACGCCTTATGCCTTATCCGTTGTCTTCACTTCCGATAATTTGAAGAGAAATCAAGACCTTAACAGACTGGAAATAATCGGAAAAGAGGAGTCAGTTGCACTTCTCAAGTTGCTCAAACTTGGAGAAGGCGAAGGCAAGTCGTTCGAATGGATTCTCCAAGAAGAGTTCAAATCAGAATTCAAACCCATTCGTTATATCGAAGTATGTGCTACCCTCGCTGCAATCCTTGAGGTACAAATCGAGCCTTACTTCATCCCTCTACAAGCGCGACCTTTACCACTCCCCGGTGGCGTGTCTGTATATTGTATACATGCAGGTGTGCCTGTGGGTTTTCTTCGATAATGATATTGATAAGTTCGTCTATGTGTCTGTCTTTCCTCAACTCATCAGTCATCATGCACTAAATTTTGAATCTGCTGCACTGTTTAAATCAGAATGAAGGGGTTGTTCCGAGATTGAAATAGACAGTCAAGTCTATATAAGACGAAAATAAAATGATAAAAATTCCTTCCTATTCATCTTGATCTGTTTTTGGTTGCTTAACTTCCATATTTTTGGTCATAAAAGTAGTTTTCTTATGTGATTTGGTAAAAATGGTTTATCTTGGGCATGTTATGATCTGTTTCAAAAAACACATTACATTATTGATACCTGTCAATTACTTTTTGTTTTCTTTTCGACATTTTCCTTTCTTGGTTAAAGTGTAGGTGATTTGTTCGTCCAAGGTCAGCATTTTAAGAATGCACTAGCAAAACTGCATTAACGTTTTTTTTTGGGGGGGGGGGACCTGGAGAAAAAGTGTGTGGATGATGACCGCAAATCACCAACCTATTTTTACTATGTGCAAAATAAATTCAATATTTTCTTGTCTGCAAATTTTAAGTGAAAGTGTGAAACCAAATAT